CGCTGCCCGCGGCGCTCTGCTGTGCTGTGCTGCTGCCGGGAGTGCGGCGGACTCGGGCAGTGCTCGCCCGCCCAGAGCTGTCCCCTGGGGGCCGCTGAAAATAGTCGCGGGAAAGCATTAGCGCTGCCTCCCCGCAGCTGGAGCCAAAGCTGCTCCGAGACGTGAGAACTGGAGCGGAAGAGGTCGACGGGAGCCAAGGGAAGCGGCTCCCCTGGCCCCGGGCTGCTGTGCTCTGCAATCCCAGCCGTGGGAAAGGCGTGCTTGGGCAGTTGCACAGTTCAGACTAGGATGTGAAACTGTTCTCAAAACGGTTCCCTTTCACTTCATAGAAAAAGGTTGTAAAGAACCACCCCTTCCTCCACAGGGATGGCAAGGGTTAGAGATGTCACCAGGTCTAAACCACCCAAGGGTTACAGGTATCCAGTATGACTATTTCCTGAAACCTGTTCTTCGGATCCTGCTAGATTGGGTCCCTGTAGGATGCTTGTGGGTAGGCACTAATTCTTTCAGCTGCTCCACCAAGTTCAAATGAGACTGCGGCCTGTACTTTTGTGGCATCAAAATCTGGCCTATCAAGATGGATGTTTGAAGCTTCCTGCCAAAAAAATTAATGAGTACATCTCATCCTAGAAAGATAGGCTAGACACTCAAGGCCATGATAGACATTACACTTTACAACCCCTTGATGTGTTGCAACCTGTAATGTGATACACACACGGGATTAAATTTCATTTAGGGGCAAAATGATCGCATGATACCTAAAGCTCAATGGACAGTTTAGGTGAACCAGATGCAGTTGAACTAGGTTTTGTCTATCACACAAATGTGATTTAGGGTCTGTCAGCATTGAGAGTTTGCCCACCAGATGTAGCCCCAAAGCCTGTAATTTCTTAACTCCACACTTTCTTGTTGTGGGTAGGTGTGAGGGAGTTAAATAGATAAAGCAAGTTTTGTTGCTGGAAGTGCAAAGTAGTCAGTTATCACCTGGGTATTTGCCAACTTGAAAATTCAAATAGCCACTTGAGCTAGGAGTTTTCAGCAGTGGGATCCTGAACTGTCTATCTATAATGGCTTAGACATGGATGTGAGAGGACACTAAGACCAGGCATGTTGTCCCCAAAGGACAGTGAGTTCATGCCCGGTGCACTTGTGCCAATAAACACACAGGGGTGAAGGATCCAACTTAATCTTTATTTCTGCGCAGAAAGTGGTGCTTGGCAATTGTTCGCAAAGCAAGCACCCGCACCCCAGTGGGCGTCTGCCTTATATAGCTACGTAACAGGTTAAACCTGCTGATGTGATGAAATGTGTAGCAAGCCCAGCAAGTAACCCCCCTTCCAGCTCCCCCCCAAGTAACCCCCCTTCCAGCTCCGGAACTTTGTTGATACAGCTTTTCCTCTAGTAAGGCCAGCAATTAAACAACTAAGCAACAAGCAATCTCCCCCAGCCTAAACAACCTACTCTATGCCCTTGGTTAGATAAAATACTTTTTTCAAAACATACAAAGCTGTTCCTGAAGAAAATGCATAGTAAAAGTTCAGGGGATCTCTGCTGGACATGGCTTCCAGCCCTACCTCTGTCCCTAGGGGTTTAGCCAGGTGCCCCTGAAACAAGGGGTGCTTATCAATTTGATAGAAAGAAGTATATGCAGGCATAGCTGAGAACATATTTTGACCTACAGAAGCTTAACTAGCAGTAGGGTATCTGGGAAGGAAATAATCTGCATGTTTTTCAGACTCCACCTTCCATCCCCCCAAGTAAGGTTTTGAAGCGAGAAAATAAAAAATAATTGTGACATAACCAGGGGTCCTAATACCTTTAGCCCCAAATCTGTCCCCCCATACTGCCTGAAACAAGCTGAGATTTGCCACTGATCCAGCTTAGTCCAGAGAGCCACATCTCCAGCTGTCCCAGTCCAGACCCTGCCAGCTCTTGCAGAGGAAAGCTTGCCAACTTAAAGGTCACCAAAATCTGGCTTGTGGAAAATTATGATAGGTCCTTGCCCTTAAAGGAGTGACCAGCCTGTATTTGTCAATTGTTCTGAAATCATAGTACAGTCAGCAAGGTGCAAGAAATAGCCAAAAGATCTATTATATGAACAAGAGAAATAATTAAAATGGTAACTGTATGTTGAAAGAGGCAGAAATATATGGAAAATAATCGTAAAGAAATATAGTTGAATTCTTGCCCTACACTACTTTCTAGAATGCAGCAGCTGGCTAACCAGTTCCTGCAAGCAGCTTGTCACTTTTCACCACCCAGCTGCAGTCATCTAAAGCCCATGAATCCTTAGACAAAAAAACTTGCTCTCATGGCAATTCTTAAGTCCCCAACTTTATCTGCTCATCTACATTCTTCAGTTCTTAGGAAGCATATATCACGTAGATAACTTCCTCCCCCAGATACATATCCTCCTCCCAGATACGTATTCCTCCCCCAGATCTGTATTCCTCCCCCAGATCTGTCTGGCAGGTCAGTTGTAATTCCTGATCCAATTATATCAAGGAAATAGTTACATCCTTTCAGACATGTAGACCACTAATCCAATATCCTTAGCTATCCATTTTTCGAGATATAGATTCTCTCTTATTCGGTTCAAAGGTGACAGATACTTATCTCTGAAGATACTCCTAACCAAAGGTTTCTTAAACCACCTATGTTTGTAGATAGGTCTTGGCTTATGCACCCACCCTCTTAGCTGACTAATAAACTGTCATCTCCGGCACAAATTCTCAGTGTTTACTCCTCGGGTGTGTGAATAGTATTGTCTGGGGAAGAACACTTTAATCTAACCAAACACTATGGTCTATTGCCAGTCAAACCTTATAAAAAGACAGAATTGCAGTTATACCCAAAACCATGGTTCATACAAAAATAAAATTGATAAAATTAAGCACAGCTTAACATTAGCTAAAAACAGAAACCGAACACTATATTAGTATATCAGATTTGGAAAAATATTGATTTATGATACTCCACAAATTCTAAAACAGTCCTGCTTCCAGGTGAATTTGTGACCAGCATTTTGGGCTAAATCCAACAGACAATTAGGGACAAGTTCTGAAGAAGAATGTGCCTGTCCAAAATGGGGCTTAAGTGCCTAACAAGTTCTAAAACTAGGTCCAAACAGCCTCTTCTTGGCAGCTGCCTATACCCAGAGTCATCTATGCTCATCAGGCATCTTCCTCCCCTTCTCCTCCCTCACTGAATCTGAAAGGGCTCCTGCAGTCCTGCTTCCAAGCCATGCAGAACCACTCTAGTCTAAGCTCTTTCAGGACCAAGAAACCAAGTTCCACTTAAGTCTGCTGAAGTGGCATATCTGGTAAGTGAGGCCAGAGCATCCCTAGTGCAAGCTCACAGGAACAGGTCCCTCACAAAATAAGCTACTTTCATTTCAAATATGGTCAAAGGAGCAGGTACCATTGCCATCCACCATTTATCTATTGACACATTAACAGGAGTATTACCCCAGCATCTTGTTTCAGTGTTCAGGCTAAGCAGCCACATCCGGGCAAGCAGGGGTATGCATTTGCAGCAGTACAGATAGTAGCAGCACAAATTTGTACCACTACTTTGTGCTTCAGCACATGTCCCTGCACATGTGCTTTGTTGCGGGACACATTGTCCCACTTTGGGTAAATTGCCTTTGTCCAGCTACTCCTGGTTCCCAGTGTACTGGAGCAGCTGGGGCACAATGGAGCAGTAGAGATGCTCTAGCTAGCAACCAGAGCATCTCATGGAGGACCAAGCCTCCATTTGTTCTGGCGCACACTATTTTTGTATGGTCTGCACTGCTTCCCCCCCCAAAGGGTTTTGTTTTGTTTTGTTTTGTTTTTTTTGGGGGGGGGGGGGGGGGGGG